GAACCAGCCTTTCTCTCTTTCCTCTCTTTTCTCTCTTCTTCTTTCCTCTCCTACTTCTTGCTGTTTACTTTACAGTCAACGAACAAGACAGAATTCTAGGGCAGGTCAAACTTTAATACGAACCAACAGCAAGTTCGACCTGACATGTTATCAATCACAGCCTTCACTCCAGTGCAGCAACCCTGGTTTATTTGGGTTCATTGGGAGTAGGACCCACTATCTATTGTGACAACAGAACCCATACTATTATGGAGGACACCACTTTACAACAGCTCTTAGCAGCGTATCAAAATGTCTTTGGAGAAACAAACAGCCTACCTCCTGTACGTACTCATGATCACCACATCCCTATTCAGCCAGGGGCCCAACCCACCAATGTCAGACCTTACAGATACCCACATGTTCAGCGGGCTGAAATTGACAAAATAGTAGCTGATTTGTTGTCCAAGCAATTGATACAACCGAGCTGCAGTCCCTATTCTTCTCTAGTCCTTGTCAAGAAGGATGGAACGTGGCGCTTTTGTATTGATTATCAGGCCCTCAATAGCATCACTGTGAAAGATAGATTCCCAATTCCACTAATAAATGAGTTATTTGATGAATTGAAGCATGTTGTTTATTTTTCCAAACTGGGCTTATGATCCGGCTACCACCAAATCCGGGTCCTCCCAAAAGGCATCCACAAAACGGCCTTTAGGACCCATGATGGTCACTATGAATTTTTGGTCATGCCTTTCGGGCTGGCTAATGCGCCCTCCACTTTTCAGAGCCTCATGAATGATATTTTCCGGCCCCACCTCAGGCGCTTTGTCTTGGTGTTCTTCGATGATATCTTGGTCTATAGTAGTGATTGAGCTTCTCATTTAGAACATTTGGAGTTAACCCTTGGGATTCTCCAGCGACATCAGTTATTCGCCAAGCCCTCCAAGTGCACATTCAGCCAGACACAGATTCAGTATTTGGGACAAGTAATTTCGCGGGGGACTGTAATGACCAATCCTGAGAAAATTGTGGCAATGACTCAGTGGGCTCAATCCAAGACCATTAAGAGTTTGTGGGGTTTTCTAGGCCTCACCAGTTACTACAGAAGTTTCATAAAAGGCTATGCATCCCTAGCCGCCCCTCTTACAGCTCTATTTAAGAAAGAAGCCTTTGCTTGGTCAGAACAAGCAGAAGTGGCCATAGTTGTCAAGGCGACGCCTAGGTGACAAGGTGCCTTTTGAGACTCGCCTCGCCTAATCGCCAAGCAGTTTTCTACTTCCTACTATAAAATAATTTTTTATTCATTCTTTTTTGAGATTATAATTATAAAATAGACATTATTTAACTAAAATAATCATTTTGTGTGTGTATATACTAATTTCTTTTTATTATTTTCTTATTTATTAGGGTTTAATCAACACAAATATTGCTAAATGCTGTATTGAACCCTCAAAGACTTAAAAACCTGAACCAATAAATAAAGAAGAACTTAAAATTTTATCTAATCAGCACATTTTCCTCTTCCATATATTCTTCTTCTACTTCTTCTTCTACTACTACTACTACTAATACTTTTTATTTTCTTCTTTTCCTATAACAAAAATAAGGGTTCAGCCCCTGTATTTTTTGAATTTTATTTTCCTTCTTCCTTTTCTTCTCATGAATATGTTGATTTTCTATACTTTAATATGAAATTTATACTTTTTTTATGAAAATCATGAATAATTATTAAAGAAATATGGTTATGGTACCTAGGGAACTACCCTAGGATCTATGTTTTTAACATAAAAAAATCCATCGCCTAGGCGACAAAGCGCCCCCCAGTCGCCTAGCCTTGCCTTGGCGCCTTGAAAACTATGGAAGTGGCATTTGAAACCCTCAAAAAAGTTATTACGACGCCGCCTACCTTAGCATTACCTGACTTTACCAAGCCATTTGTGGTGGAGTGTGATGTGTCGGGCAGAGGAATCGGTGCAGTTCTGATGCAAGAGGGACACCCTATTGCTTATTTCAGTAAGTTCCTGCCAGCCCAGGCCCAATTAAATTTACTTACGACAGGAACTGATGGCCAAGGTGCTCTCCGTGCACAAATGGAGAGCTTACTTATTGGGGCAAAAATTCACAATAAGGACTGATCAAAGGAGTCTCAAACATTTGATGGAACAAAGGATTCTTAGCCTTGAACAACAGAAGGGGACCAGCAAGTTAATGGGCTTTGATTTCACCATTGAGTACAAACCTGGTCCATCCAATACAGTTGCTGACGCTTTATCCAGAAGAGAAGAAATGAACTCTTTGACAGCTTACAGACCTCTCCACCCCTTGCTTGATCACATCAAGAAAGAAGCCCAACAAGATTATGAATTAAAATTGATTCGGGAGCAGTTGGGATCAGGAGCAAACCAAGTAACGGGGTACTCCCTGGTGGGTTCAGACTTATTCTACAAAGGGCAACTGGTGATAGCGCCTAAATCTGTTTTTCACACAGACCTTTTGAAGTTGTTCCATGAGTCAGTAGAGGGAGGTTATTCTGGGATGATCAGGATTTATAGGCGCATAGCAGCCCACTTTTATTGGCGGGGAATGAAGAAGGCGGTGCAAGATTTTGTTGCAAGTTGCCTGTATGCCAAACTCAAAAATATCAGGCCCAAACCCCAGCTGGGTTGCTACAGCCCCTACCCATTCCAGATCAGGTGTGAGACAAGGTAACTATGGATTTTATTACGGGATTGCCTAAGTCTGGTGGGAAGTCTGTTATACTGGTTGTTGTGGATAGACTGAGTAAGTATGTGCACTATGTTGCGCTTTCCCACCCTTACATGGCATCTCAAGTAGCTCAGGCCTATATTCGTGAAGTGGCTAAGCTCCATGGTACACCAACAACTATCATCACGGATCGGGACCCCACTTTTGTAAGCCGATTCTGGGAAGAATACTTCCGGGCACAGGGTACTCACACCTATCATTCCACCAGCTACCACCCGTAGACTGACGGTAAACCGGAAGTGGTTAACCATTGTCTAGAGACCTACCTCAGATGTTTCGCAGGAGAGAAGCCTACTCAGTGGCTGAAATGGCTCCCATGGGCTGAATTTTGGTATAATACCACTTACATGTTACTACAGGGACCACCCCATTCAAGATCTTGTATGGAAGAGACACACCCTCAGTGTTACCCTATGAGAAGGGCACTTCGGCAGTTGCAGAGGTCGAACAGCAGCTTGAAGCCAGAGATGAAGCACTTCGATCACTCAAGAGTCACTTACTCAAGGCTCAGAATTACATGAAGATGTAGTATGATAACAAACATCGTGAGGTGGAAAACCAAGTGGGGGACTTAGCCTACTTGAAACTGCAACCTTACAGAGTCATCACTGGCAAAAAGAGCTTGGCAGAAGTTCTCACCCTGCTTCTTTGGTCCCTTTCGCATTTCAGGTAGAGTGGGAGCAGTGGCTTACAAATTAGACTTGCCGAATACTGCCCAACTCCACCCAGTATTTCATGTCTCACTCCTCAAACCATGCCGGACAGATGCAGTTTTGGTGGAGCCACTATTGCCTGAGTTTACTAGTGAAGGACAGATGTTTGTTGAGCCCAATGTCATCACAGACATCCTCTGGATAAAGAAGGGTCACAAAGTGGTGAAGCAGGCCCTTGTTCAGTGGATGAACCTGCCCCCAGAAGATGCCACTTGGGATGATCTCAGTCAGTTGCAAAAACAATTTTCCATCTTGACCTTGAGGCCAAGGTCGTTCTTAAGGGTGGGGGAGATGATAGATCCCAAGCGGATAACCCACCATCAGATCACTGGGCCCATAATGTTCAGGAAACCCAGGCCCACACAGGTCGTGAAGCCCACGCAGCAGCAGTAGCGGCCCATGCAAAGCTTTACAAACCTCCACTGCGTTTTGTTTACAACTGCAGGCCACGTCATGACCACCCACATGCATAGCTCATGGTAATGATGAGCTGATAGTGAGAAAGCCTATATAAGGCCTACGGGTAGAACAGAATGGGCAGAAAAATCATAACCAACTTATTCCCTTCCCTCTTTCTCTTCTTTCCCTCTCTCTTAATTCTGTTTCTGGAGGAAGGAGCTCCCTCGAAGAAGCTCCGTCGACTTAGAGTTTATCACAATGTTGGCAATATTTGCAGTTTATGTTCACTCCAAAAGGCATTTTATCAACTGGAAAAATTGCAAGTACTCTGTTTGATATGACTAGGAATCACTTATACCATATTAAATGGTATAAATCTCCACTATATTCTTTTTTAAATACTCAGTGCAAACAACAGGATAATAACTTAAAAGACATGAGACCATACCTGTGAAGGTCCTTGATGCTTGTCAGGGTGCCACTTTAAAGCTGATAAGCGGAAACTAGGAAGAAGAAAACACATGTAAAATGTAAAGATCATACACTTAAGAATGTAGATTAACTGTTATCAACCAAAAAAATATATAATAGAGAGAAAAAAGTAGATGATCATGTAAAGGAAGAAAGCAGGCCAAGTTGAGGAGAAAATAGTGAAACACTGCTTCAAGGATAAGTTTATTTTCACAAAAGCAGATTGGCATACTTACGCGCTTTTAACATCTTCAATCTTTAATGGGCCTGTAGGTGGCAACCCAAGTATTTTTCTATCAGAATATGAACCTATAACACATGGCTCATTATCATCATCAGTTTCACTTGTAGTATCCCATTCTTCACTCCTATTTCTTGTCCAGTCTGCATGGTCTCTCCACTCAAATCCAGGTGTTGAATACTGGAAATGGGATTCATCCCAAGGTCTAAAAGACCAAGTAAAACATCTGCTACCAAATGTTGCTTGAAAGATTGTTTCTGGATGCTCATCAAAGTCATCAGAGAAACTGTCCCTTCTTAGCTTACCTAAACAGAACGGATGGAACACAAGTTTGTCAGAACAGTACCCAAATGTAAGAAATCAAAATAGGAATACTTCTGCGGCTCCCTAAGTAATATAAATGAACCATTAGATTGCATTTTAAGCTTTTCAGCTTCATCTCCCAGTCATGTCAGCAAGAAGAGTTGTATACCAAATCACCAGAAATCCAACAGATGCAGCTGAACCTAGATAAGTATATACATACTCGAGCAAATGAACTATGCCCCACCCCCCAAGCTTATTCTGGTAGTTAATAGAAAAATAGATAGATGAAAAATTAAGAGACATACAAGGTCAACAGAAAACAGAAGGGAATAAAAATATGCTATATTGTAAAGATAGAAGGCACATCCTGCCAGTACAACGCCCTTTACAGTAGCCACCATACAAAAACTAGCAGTTCCCAGAAGAAATATCACTAGTTACCTAACTGAAGCCCTCCCAAGTCCCACCTCATAACTAGAAACCCGACTACCAAACACCAATAAGAGCACCCACACCAAAGCCAGCCAAACTCTAAAACTGAAGAACCACCAAGGCGCCAACAAACCGATATACGGGACTTAAATATGGTGGATGGATGGAAAATTCCTTATATTGATCAAAAAACACACCGATATATGGGCATGTAATAGAGGCCAAACAGCATGGCAGGACAGTCAAACTATCAAAGAAATGAGGCACTTAACAAGGTCAAAAGAAGTAAAGTATAGATGGGTGAAGAGGTCTGCAAACAGCTTGGCAGATCAACTGGCATGGCAAGGGATGAACAGAACTGAAACCCTTTGGGTTATTTTGTAATGCATAAGCATATTCTGAGACTAGGCAATCTCAACCTCTGGGATGCCTTCCCCTATACTGGTCTGTTTCTAATTTAATAAAATTCTTTTCAGTTATTCATCAAAAAAGGGGGCATCCCATCATTTCCCTCCACCACCTTTCCCTTTTACCTCTTGTGCTCTCTGACAAGCCCCTTGTTTTTTCCTGCATCCCACTCTTGCAATCCATGGTTCTTCAATGTTTCTAGCAGGTTATTGACCTCTTTAAGAGGATTCCCCAGCTTTCTTATCATTAACTGGAACATCATTGACTTACTGGAGCAGCTCTCTCTACTTCTATGAAAATATTTAGCAAACTGAATAAACCCAAAATCTTCATCACTTAAGTCAATCACTCCACATCTTGTTCTGTCAGAATACACTTGCTAAGGTTGACCTATTTGTGTATCCAATTTTTTTGACAGGTGTTTTTGTATATCTAATTCACATCTTCAGATTCATCCAAGTCTCAATGTTTGCACTGCTATTTTAAGGATGAAAATTCCCTCTTCATCAGGTTTAACTTCTCAAAGGTGCATCTTTTGACCTTCCTCTGATTACTTGGTAGGTTTCTTGGAACTAATGCCGAAAAACGGTGCCACATCAGCACCACCATAGTTGTCAAGGTGCCTAGGCGAGCCTACATGACCACAGGGCGCCCCATCGCCTAGGCAGGTGCCTAGGTGATGCTTAGGTGATGGAATTTGAAAGTATAAAATAAAAGATCCCTACCCCTTCTTAAGCTACTTTATTAGTTTTTTATACTAACCAACATACCTTTATACTGGCTATAAGCAATAAATTCATTCAAATAAAACATAAAATGCCATCATATATACATCATACCTGTTTCAGGTCAACAAAAAAGGGGGAATGTAGCGGAAAAAAAAAAAAACGAGAGAAAAATAAGGGGGCAGAGCCCCTGTTTTGTTCCCAAAAAATATTTCTTAGAAAAGAAATATATATATATATATATATATATATATGAGTTAGAGGACATGGAGCAAATATATATATATAGGAGTAAGAGAACGACTTGGACTGTGTTTAAGGTGGCAGAGACCCTGTTTCAGGCTAATAAAGGGAGAATGCTGCAAAAAAAGGAGAGAAAAACAAAGGGGCATAGCCCCTGTTTCGTTCCAAAGAAAAAAAGCATTATTAAAAAATAGTGCAAAAAGATATGGGAAGTTTTAGAAAGTTGGGGTGCAGCCCCCGTTTAAGAAGGGAGTGGAGGCTGCAGAGCCCCTCTTTCGTTTCCAAAAGTATTTTTATAAAAAATTAAGAAAATAAAATACAGGAGTACCAGGGTGATTTGAGGAGAGAGGAGCTTGAGGACCATACTATTTCTTAAATAAGAAAAAAAAAGGACCATACTGTCTAAGAAGAAGAAGAAACTTACCTGGAGGTCTTGGATGACTTGGACCAAGTCCTCGGTTTCTCTTCTCAGTCTTGGTTCAGAACTCAAACCCAAAGAAACTTTCGTAGCTTTAGTAAAAAGGAGAATTATCTTTCTAAAAAAAACTGTAACATACAACAGGATGTATTCTAATAAAATAAAACTAACCAATAAAATGATAAATATATATAGGCATTCAAAAAATGATATAATATGTATATGTGTGAGCGCCTAATACAAAAAACATCTTGGCATTGGGTGAGGCAGCTTCTAAAAATCACCTAGTTTCCTAGGCAATGCCTAGGCGCCTGCCTAGGTGTCACCTTGACAACCATGAGCGCCATGTCTGAAATCCATTTTTTCAGACAATGCCTGATGTTTGGTTATTCATTTTTCAAAACAAAAAAGTTTTCTCAGACCATGCCTTGGAAACCGGGAAAGGTGTAGTCTGAGAAACCGCCCTTTTTATGTTTTCTCGTTTTCCTACTGTTGCTAGCAACAGTATGTTGACATGGCATTGAAAAACGCCAATGTGGCAGCAACAGCAATGGTACCAAACAGAATAAAAAAGAAAAAAAAAAGTTTTCTGAGAAAACGGCATGCCAATGCAGCACCATTTTCTCAAAAAACACCTCAGGAAACGGCATTGGTTCCAAACACCACCTTAGAAGGGGGAATTTTAATCAGATTTAACCTCTTCAAGGTTAGCACTGCTACTTAAATTGAGCATGAATTTTCTTCTCTTTTCTTGTGTAGAACTATAGAAATTTTTAAACTTACTAGATGATGTTTTCTTGTATAGAATCAGTGATTCACAAACATTATCATGTAATGATGTAACAAGCAACAAGGCACATTGGCAGAGATTGTGCATCTATAATGACAACCTAGCAAATCAGCAAAGATAAATGCCCTAAGGATTGTATGCCCGGAGTCTAATTCTTGCTTCAATGCAATGGAGAAAAAGTACAAAAGTAGGAATTCTGGTCTCAGATGATCTCTTCTGGATGAAATGGAAACAAATAAAACTTTCCTTTGCATCTTTTTTTTATAGGTAAAAATAAAATTCATTAAAAGGAAAAAGGAAACGAATACAAGCACCAATGTGATGTTAAGATAACACCCCAACAACAGAACAACAAAGCAAAATGATTACAAAGCAGAATCAATAGAAGACCCCAATAAGCTTAATCTTCCACTTCAAAAGCATCGTCATGCCCATCGTCAGCCTCATTCCACACCTCTCCACCTTCACCTAAGTAGTCGATCTAGACTACAATCAGTCTTGAATTAAAAAGAAAAAAATGATGAAAATTTGAAAAGAAGAAGAAGAGAAGAGAGGAAGAAAAGAAGTACACGAAGAGAGTTTCAGAAAAGAGAGAGAGTAGGTCATAATTTCTGCCGACCCTCTCTTAGTATTTATAACTATTGGCTAACTGTAAAAGGGCTGAATTGCCCTTATTGCTTACATGGCAAATAGAATAAGAAATAACTAATAATAAAGCTGAAATAACTACCAACTAACACTGTCATATCTAACAGAAATATTGCTGCCATATGAACACTGTGGGGACCACATCAGTGTTTTTTACACTCCCCCTCAAGTTGGGAATAGATATTTGTCATTCCCAACTTGCATAGATCTGCCTCTAAATTCTTCCTTGGAACAGCCTTGGTGAGAAGATCTGCAAGCTGCGTGCTGGAGGTGATATACGGAAGACACACTTCCTGAGATAAAACCCTTTCTCTAACAAAATGTCGGTCTACTTCAATATGCTTAGTTCTGTCATGCTGTACCAGATTATGAGCTATATTAATAGCAGCCTAATTATCACAATACAGCATTAAGGGCTTCTCATAAGCAATACCCAACTCCTCAAATAGTGATTTCAACCATAGGATTTCAGCCACACCATTAGCCATGGACCTGTATTCAGCTTCTGCACTAGAATGAGAAACAACACTTTGCTTCTTACTCCTCCAGGAGACCAGGTTACCTCCTACAAAAGCACAATATCCAGAGGTTGACCTTCTATATTCAATACTCCCAGCCCAATCAACATCTGTATGAATCTCTATCTTCATGTGATTATTATTCTTGAATAGTATACCTTTACCTGGGCACCTCTTCAAATATGCTAATATCCTCTCAACTGCGAGTAGTCCTAGGAGAGTGCATATACTAAATGACAATGCTGACCGCATAACTGATGTCCGGTCGTGTGAGACAAAGATAAAGGAGTTTTCCAACTAACCGTTGGAACATAGCTTTATCTTCAAGTGGCTCTCCACCCTCTGCACTGATCTTGTGATTCTGTTCAATAGGTGTATCTACAGGCTTAACACCTAACTTTCCAGTTTCTTCTAACAAATCTAGAGCATACTTTCTTTGGGAAACAAAAATCCCATGTTTAGATCTAGCTACCTCAATACCCAAGAAGTATCATAGCTCTCCCAAATCTTTCACCTCAAGTTCTTGATGAAGGAGTTGTTTGAGAGACTCAATCTCATCATTATCATTCCCTATCACTACAATATCATCCACGTATACAGCAAGCAAGGTCAAGGAAGAGTCCACTCTCTTAATGAACAATGTATGGTTTGACTGGGACTGTACATAGCCGAACCTTTCAAGGGCTTGTCTGAATCCATCAAACCAAGCTCTGGGGGACTGTTTTAGTCCATACAAAGCTTTATTCAACCAGCAAACCTTCTTTCCTGTGTCTGCATCATAAAATCCAGGAGGCAACTGCATGTAGACTTCTTCCTG